CTGTTTTTTGGGGGGCATAAGTGGTTTATGAGACTTTTAATGAGGGAATAATATAGGTGTAGTGTATATGTTTTAGTACCATGATGGTGTACTGCATTTCAGATATATATGTATATTGAAAAAATATAAACCGAAGTATGTGTGAAGAGGTTCTACCCTTAGACTTTCACTTAAATGTGAGTAAAGACAGATGGTTAAGAAATGGATGTTTCAGAAGAACTAGATGGTGCCCAGTTACCACTGTCAACCACTCGGAGGGGAATCTATGGAGGAGATCCTGAGTAGAGAGAGAGAACAATGTGGAACAAAACTCAAAATCATTTGGGGGGGGAAAGGGGGGGGGACCAGGTTTGCTGGTCTTATAGAGCCTGGTGGAAGCACTGACACTATGGCCCCTAGCTTCCCTTCAGGTCTGAAATTGAACCCACACCTGTGGCTTCCAGCCAAACAAGACAGGCATATGAGTTGTACATGTACTTAAGGTTGTTGTGGTTTGTTGTATAATGCCATCGAGTCAGCCCTGACTCATAGCGACCCCTCCTTGGGTTGCCGAGGCAGTATCACTACGGAAGTAGATTGCCCATCCTTCCTTCCGAGGAGTGTACTTAAGGTAGATACACTCTTTGGAGAGAACAATCATGAGAGAAAGAAGGGCTGTTTATGCACAAGGAGACAGCTCAGGAGGCAGGAGTGCATGAAGGGATGGACACAGGGAAGAAGTAAATATCGGGAGGAAGTAGGAGGGGAGCTGTTGCACTGTGGTAAATTGTAGTCAATGTCATGAGACAAAGTGTATGTGAACTGCTGTATGGAAAGTGAATGTGCTCTGTAAATTTTCACCCAAATCACAATTTAAAAAAAAAATTTTTTTCACTCAAAAAAAAAAAAAAGAAATGGATGTTTATTGTATATGTAGGTTGGTGAGATGCTTCTAAAATTTTTGTAATGGAGTTAATAGGGTTTTTTTTGGTATATTTGTATAATGGCGGTACAGGTTTTTCAGTTTTGTGTTGTCTTTATAAGAATAAGCCATACAGCTGTGAAAGCTTACTGTTTCATTATTAGTAGTATTGTTGGTGTGCGTATGCTGCTTTTTTCCCTTTAAAAGTTTCATAATTTGGTCAGAATATTTTACTCTCAACTATTTTAAAAAGCAAGGAAAAGAAGATTCTTTCAGAGAAACCCAAAGGAATTTCCTATCGCAGTCAGGGTGAACATCCAAACTGTATTTCTAGCTTCTTAAGAATATTTGTGATGCTGGACAAACATTTCATTTTTTGGACAAACATTTGTGTCTAATCTTTTGAAGAACAATAGATTTCTTGGTGGTTGTTTTGGGTGTTAATTGAGAAAAGATGGATTCCTGGCCTCTCAAATAACAAATGCTTGTTTTCTTATAAATTACTTTTACTTTGTAGCTTTTACAATGTGTTGTAATCAGTGGCATTGAGAAAAAGGAAGACAGAGAGAGGTGCATGGGAGGTACAGATAACAAAGATGAACCCTTTTATACATACACTACTGAGTTGTCAGTGAAGGCAAACATAGATATATGGGTAGATAGATGGGTGGACAGGCTGAACTATTAGGTATATCTATGCAGGGGGGGAGGGAGCTCTGGTAGCACAGTGCCTAAGGCACTTGACTGCTAACCAGAAGGCTGCCAGTTGAAACCCACCAGCCACTCCTCGGAAGGAAGATGGAGCAGTCTACTTACGTGGTGATACTGTCTCAGAAACCCAAGGAGGGGTCACTGTGTTGGGTCTGATTCGATGGCACATAACAACAACAACATGCAGGGGGGAGTATGCCCATCACAATGAATAGGGTTGGCTGACAGTGTTTCTACAAGTGTATTGGTATGTTCTGTAAGAATTTCCAGGTATATAATAGAGCTGACAAGGGAGAAGGTTGTACTCATTTCTTGGCCATAGCCAGCTACCCAGAGGGAGCAAGTAGTTGGACCTGAGGGCTTGGGACCATAGTCTCAGGGGATATCAAGCTCAGTTGGCATAACATACTACACAAAAACATTGTTCCACATCCTACTTAGGTAAATAGCAACTGGGATCTTCAAAGTGCAAGCAGCCATCTAGATGCAGTGATGGGTCTCTCGTCATCCAGAGCAAAGAAGAAGGAAGAAAACCAAAGACACATTAAAACAGTCCAAATGACTGGTACACCATGCGATCCTCAGCTTATAAGACTGTGAGACCAGAAGAGCTAGATGGTGCCCAGCTACCACTCTGAGGGGGATCTATGTAGGAGATCCTGGATAGAGTGGGAGAACAATGTGGAACAAAACTCAAAATCATTTTTAAAAAAGGGTGGGGAGACCAGATTTGCTGGTCTGATAGACCCCTGAGACTGTGTCCCCTAGTTCCCTTCAGGTCTGGAATTGAACCCACTCTTGTGGCTTCCAGCCAAACAAAAGAACAGGCATATGAGCTGAACATTGATATTAGGTAGACACACTCCTTGGAGAGAACAATCATGGGAGAATAGAAGAGCTGTGTATGCACAGGGACACAGCTCAGAGGGGCAGGAGTGCATGGGAGGGAAGGACACAGGGAAGAGGTAACTATGAGGAGGAAATGGAAGGGGAGCTGTTGCATTGTGGAAGTTGCAGTCAATATGAGACAAAGTGTATGTATGCTGTTGTATGGAAAATTAATTTGCTCTGTAAACTTTCACCCAAATCCCAATAATTCTTTTTTTAAAATGTCTTGTAAATACTTGACTCTTATAAAAATATATTGAGTCATTTGACTGCTAACCAGAAGCTGGCAGCTCAAACCCACCAGCCACTCCTCGGAGGGAAGGTTGGGCAATCTATTTGCATAGTGATGCTGCCTTGGAAACCCAAGCGGGGGTTGCTATAAGTTGTTGTTGTTGTTGTTTTTTTTTTTTTTGGTTAAGAATGTTAGAGATCAAATGTAGTTTGTCTTATTAGGAAATAAATACCAATTCTTAATACCATGTTCACAGACTCTGGGGGTTAGGATGTGGACATCTTTGGGGGGCCATTATGTTGCCAAGCACAGTATTTATCTTCAGTGTTTCCATTCCTATTTGTGTGAGCTTGGTTTTAGTGGGTCCAGTGGACAAATGAATCTGGAACTTAGAATTTTCTGAGGCATCATCACGATGCAGGACTCCACCCTAAAGAGTTTAGCTGAAATAATAAGAGCAGGCACTAGTACAGGTTTTCATTTTATAGAGAGGTTAATGAGGGATACTTTGAGGACAAAGGTACACCTGACACAAGCCATGATATCTTCAGTTGCCTCGTATGCATGCAAAAGCTGCACAGTGAATAAGGAAGACTGAAGAAGAATTAATGCCTTTGAATTACGGTGTTGGTGGAGAATGTTGAATATACCATGGACTGCCAGAAGAACAAACAAATCTGTCTTCAAAGAAATGCAGCCAGGGTGTTCCTTAGAAGGGAAGATGGCGAGACCTCGCCTTGCGTACATTGTACGTGTTGTCAGGAGGGACCAGTCCCTGCAGAAGGACATCATGCTTGGTAAAATTAGAGGGTCAGCAAAAAAGAGGAAGACCCTCAGTGAGATGGATTGACATAGCGGCTCCAACAAAGGGCTCAAACATAGCATCGATTGTGAGGCTGGTACAGAATGGGGAAGAGTTTTATTCTGTTGCACATATGGTCGCTATGAGTTGAAACGGACTCAGTAGCACCTAACACCACCACTGAGAGGTATAGCCAGGATTTGAACATATCTATACCCACATCCCACCAGCAGTGCTGGGCTGATGGGCCAGGTGGATCCCAGTGGAGGAGCCAGAACTCCATGAGCTCGGTCGCCCTAGATGAAATGGCTGGCACGATGGCAGTACAAACCCACACTTGCTCCACTGGTATCAAGTTCCCCAGTCCTTCTAGTGTTGGCAGGAGCAGAAAGCTCCTCTGAGCATGTGGGGAGCAGTTGATTACTTGCTGTGCCTCTCTCCGTATGCTGCTTTTCTTTGGGTCTTGAAGTGTTGGAGGACTTGAAGGTATGGACGTATTAGTATTCTTAAGGAGAATGTGTGGTATGGTGGAAAAGACAAGGAATTTGAAGTTAAAGAAACTGGGTTTGAGTCTTGGCACTGTACTCGTAGCTCCTCCTCTTTGTGGGAAGAGATTATTGCCTCAAGCTGTCATTAAACAATAAAGGACTTTGTAATAAATGTTAACTATTAATCTGGGCACTGTTTATGATTCTCTTCGTAAGGAGAATAGGTAGATTTTTATGACAAACACTGAAGACTAAAGATTTGTTCATATATGTGTCACGTGTAATGCTCAGATCTTTCCATCTTGTGATTCTGATGAATGCTGATAGTTGTGTGAGATTAAATCTATTTTTTATACTTATAAAATGATTTTAGTTCTAATTGGTGTCAGTTTTATATTTGCTGTGAGCAAGTGAAAATTTTATTGTGGTAAAGTATTTGACAAAGTTAACAAGAAAGTACTTACCAAAATAGAGTATGTTTGTATATATTTTAAGCTTGATGAAACATTTAGGTTGTGTATAAAATTTCTATTGTGAAGCAAAACCATATTTGAAATACTTTTTCATTGGAATCATTTGTTTTATTCCATAATACAACACTTGGAAATTTTCTGAATTTAAATAAACTCTAATTTGATTATTATTTGTGTAGCCTCTCTTACAAGCTTAAAAATTATCAGGATTCAGAATATTATTTTTTTTTCTCAGTAATCAATTTTGAAGTTTTCTGTTGTTAGATGTTCTTTTCATTGCTTTTTTAAAAGAAGAGAAAGTGGCTTTTCTTTTTAAATAAAAAGACAGGTGTGCTTATTGTCTTAGATTTTATGGAACTCATCTATTCATTTCCCTATTGTGGCATTTTCTTTTGTAGTTTAACATACAGGTGACTAGATAAAGCTTTAAACAGCAAGAATAATAATGTTTCTAATTTCCTTGATTATTAATGACCTCAGACTGTAAAATTGTATTCTTTTTCAGTATCCCTTTTACTATTCAACGACTATGTGAATTGCTAACAGATCCAAGGAGAAACTATACAGGAACAGACAAATTTCTCAGAGGAGTAGAAAAGGTATTTATTTTAAGATTGGAATTATATTAATTTGTAGCATAATAGATTCCGAAATGACATTGAATAAGCTCTGTTTTGGGATCCTTTTCTTCAGATAAGTTTGTTAAGCCTACCTGAAGTTTTTTCTAAATTGTGTATTTTGGAGAGAAATTTATATGAGGGGACAGAGGAAGACTGGGTGTGATCAATTAAGTTTCAGAAAGGCAGTGTATTTTCTTCTACCCTGGAAATTCATAGTACACACCAACATATTCAAGTTTCTGAGAAGGTCTACAATTTTAAGTATTTGTACAAATGTATTTTTCCTCGGAATTCACTTTCTCAGTTCTAGGGTTTAGAGGCACACAACTTGGGAAATTCCTGGTGCAAGGCAAATGGATTAGGTTTTGAGTGGGAGGATTCAGGTCAGATTCAAGAGTGAGAATAGCATTAGGTTTATTGTGGGTGAGAAGAATTGATAAGGGGCAGAGGCTATTAGCAATAGGAATTAAGGAATAGCACTATGGACAAAAAAATCAGGAAGAGCACTATGGACAAAAACATCAAGGTGTTTGACGGGATGAAAATTAGAAATTGACTGGCCTGTAGCTTTGGTGGCATAGTGGATAAGGCACTTGACTGCTAATTGGAAGATCAGTGGTTCAAACCTACCAGCTACTCTGTGGAAGAAAGACTGGGTAATCTACTTCTGTAATGATTTACTGCCTTGGAAACCTAATGGGGATTGCTATGAGTTGGAAATGACTTGATGGCAGTGAGTTTTTTTGGTGAGGACTGCAGTGAAGGAATGAAGGGAGGAGCCCTGTGGGAACCGAGATTGGATCAGTGGGTTGCTAATTCTTTCACTTGGTGATTGATCCTAAAACATAGTCCAGTGTTCATTTTAGGTTCTGATTTAAATTCATTTTGTCTTATCCTTGGAGCAGGGATCCAAAACTAGTATTTAAGGCTTTAGTGGGTTAATAAGTTTTGTTTATCCTCTGTGCCTTCAACTGAATAGATTCCTGAAAGACAGGACATGAGATGGTTCATTAATATTTATTTATCAGCTGAAGGACTTCTAATAATCACTCCCACATTTTGGTAATATTAGGATAAGAGATACTGTATCTTAGTAGTCATATTGGGGGCTCTGCATTCAAATCAGGGCTGCATTACTTCATACTTGGGACCTTGGACATGTTACTTAAGCTAAGCCTCAGTTTCCTCATCTGTTGAATGTAGATAATAGTAGGGCTGTGAGGAAGATTAAACATAAAGCATTTACTGTGGCTTATAGTAAAATGAAATTTCTTCATTGAATATTAACTGTTACTAAAGTATTGTTACCAAGAAGATTGTAAGTATTTTAATACAAAAAGCTTGAGCTCTTTCTTGGGGTACACAGTACTACACACAACTTTTGAATTAGGTACTGCTTTATAAGGAAAATCATAATTAGGTTTTCTTGGCTTAAGTACTTTAATCTCTAAACATCTTTGGGTGGTTCTAGCTAAAGATGGGGCGATCTGCTTCCGTAGTGATACTGCCTCGGAAACCCAAGGAGGGGTCGCTATGAGTCGGGTTTGACTCGATGGCACATAACAGCAACAACAACATCTAAAATAAAAGAGCATGGTTCCACTCTGTTATATAGAGTTCATGATGCCAGGTCTCCAGAGTAACAAATGAGGGTGAAATATAAGATTACAAAAAAATAAATGGTTTAGTGTAGGGTATTAAATTTGCAACATTTGTTATTGCTTTAATTTTTCTGTTTCATCAGGAGTTTTTATTTTTAGCCATTTTTTTTTACTTGTAAATCATAATAAATGGAAACTTAACCCATCAGGATGATTCTGAGAAATTAAAAACAAATTGTTACACTATATTTATAACAATTTTTCTCATACTAAATCACCAATTTTTGTTATTGCAGAATGTGATGGTTGTTAGCTGTGTTTATCCTTCTTCAGAGTAAGTATACAGTTTTTCTTATATATTATTTATTATATTCCGATTATTATTTCTAATACATTTTTCTTAAAAGAGGTTTGATTTATAAATACTTGTGAACTTACTAACCGGACTCCAGAGTAGAATATTACCAACATTATATTACCTGTGTGTTTCTCCAATAAAGAGATTAGGATTGAAGAGATTTATAATTTACTGTAATCCTAGACTCTCTAGGGCATGATTTCTAGGTTTCAAATAGCTACTTGAAGACATTTCTCTTCTTTTTGGTAAAGATTTCTAGTTGTAAAGATTTATATGAGAAATTAAGAACTCATATGACAGGTTTTTCAGCCTTGGCATCTGACATTTTAGACCAGATAAGTCTTTGTTGTGGGGTCTGTTGTGTGCATTGTTTAACAGCATCCCTGGGTGTCTACTCTTGATGCCCATAGCATCCCATGCCCACTCCACTTCCCGTTGTGACACCAAAATGTCTTCAGACATTGCCAAATGTCCCTGAGGAGTGCAGAATGTCATTGTTGAGAACTACTGATTTAAAGTTAGACTGCCTCTGATTTCATAAAATAAGACAATAAAAACAGTGAATTAATTTTTAGAACTCTTTTAAGAGCATAGCTGTGTTTTTAAATATGATACTAAGATAATGCCATAATATCATGTGTTTCTTGGCAGAAAAATTATTTTAAAAAAAGATATATAATAAGAAACTCGGCTTAACTTTGTTAAAGTTAAATCAAGAGTCATCCTCCATTTAACTTTACTAAAACATCTTTTGTTTTGCTAATGAATGACCTGTTTTAGAAAAAAATTATAAAGAAGTGCAAAGTCAAATCATAATGATTTGGTAACTTTTTTCCCCCCCTCCCTTATACTCTTGGTGTATGCCTGAGTTATTTTTCATAAAAGTCTTTTGGTTTGGTTCTGTGAATGTGAGAATCTTCACAAGGTCTTTTAAACACATGATTGCTTTCAAATATAAAGAACGTAAACTATCATAACAGTGCCTTTTCTTTTTTTTAAATAGGAAAAACAATTCCAATAGTTTAAATCGAATGAATGGTGTTATGTTTCCTGGAAATTCACCAAGTTATACTGAGAGGTGAGATTGTTGATTTTTAATCTAAAGAGTTCACAGTTCTCTTATTTGAGTAGCAGGTTCAATATGTATTTGAAATTAGGCATTTTATGCAGGATGTTTGATACATTAAACAGAACTGCACCTTCTGCTCACATAACTACTCTTACATTATCTGACCTTTTGCATTTATTATAGTAGTAAAATCTGCTTACCTGAGTACTTGGGATTAATAATGTACATCTGGCAGCAGCAGAGGCTGAAGAGTGAGGCGAGAGTAATGCTGGCTATGATGGTTGTGTCATTGTGGCTGGGCCATGTCTCAGTGATTTGGCAGTTACATATTAAGTAATTTTGCAGATATGTAATGATGTAGTCATTTTTTTGATCTGCTGTGGTCATCCTCTATTTCTACATACCAACCTGGTCTTCAGAACCTAACCATGTATATAGCCAAATGAAGAGTAGGCTTAGTTATTTGGTACCCCATAGACCTTGAAAAGACAAAATTACAGCAAATACTTCTGTGGCATGTTCATATAAACATACTTTAGGAGGGATGACTCTTTGCCAAAATGGTAAAATAATGCTCATTTATCTTATCATAGGTCTAATATAAATGGACCTGGAACACCCAGGCCACTTAATCGACCAAAGGTTTCTTTGTCAGCCCCCATGACAACTAATGGTTTGCCTGAGAACACAGACAGCAAAGAGTCAAACTTACAGCAAAATGAGGACAAAAATCACAGGTTTGTATGTGATTGTGTATTTTTTCTTTAAAAAAGTATTACATTAATAGTTTATAGCATTTATTGTATACTATTTATAATTTATTATTATTTGAGAGTTAAAGTTTTAATGAGGTTATAGGAGCTATGGCTTCTGTTTGAAGCTACCAGCACGTGCTGTGAATAGACACAAAACAGACTTAAATTGCTATATTTATTTCTTATTTTTGAAAGTTACTTGGAAAGAAAAGAGCTTTGTAAATAATTTGTAATTTTGTGAATAGTTTCTCACAATAAATCATTTATATCCTACCTCAAACTCTCTGCATCACATTCAGGTAAAGAGGATTGAGTAATAAGTAAGGGGTATGACTTTAGAGAGTATGTCCATACAGGGACTTTTAGTTTTACTATAGGAAGACGTTAAATGTACTGGAGAATGAAGTTAAGTATAAAATATTGACAGTTCCTAGTAGTAAATATTTGTGAAAGAGTTTAGATTCCCATGAAATGATTCTTTTTCCTTTGTGTAGGTGTTATAATTTGACACTGAAATGCTATTTGAAGATGTATTAGACCTTAAAAATGAGAATGTAGAAGATACAGGAAATTATTTTATTAATGACACTTTAAAAAACATTTACAGTGACTCTCTGACATCTGAATCAGAAGGTTCCTCGATGAGCCCTATAAAAAATAAACATCCAGATGATGATGCTGTGGAAGCTGAGGGGCATGAGGTAAAAAGACTCAGGTTTGACAAAGAAGGTGAAGTAAGAGAAACAGCCAGTCAAACAACCTCCACTGAAATTTCTTCAGTTATGGTAAAAGAGACAGAAGCATCATCTTCATCTCAGGATAAAGATAAAGAAAGTAGTTGTACCAGACAGCACTGTACAGAAGAGGATGAAGACGAGGATGAAGAGGAAGAAGAAGGTATTTAGAGACCATCTGTAAAAGGGTGGAGTAAGGAGATCCTCAAATTCTTGTACTTCATTTTTGCGTGAAAGAATTTAACATCCTTATAATACTGATGTTGGGCTTTTCTCCCACCTGTATGTAGTTGCTGCTGAGTTTCAGGGGATGTGATTTGAACTGTAGCGTATCAGAATTCATGAAACTTAACTGTGGAAGTATTTTGAAAATAAAATTTAACTACAACAACATTTGCTTATTTTTAGAGTCTTTTATGACATCAAGAGAAATGGTCCCAGAAAGAAAAAATCAAGAAAAGGAATGTGATGATGCCTTAACTGTGAATGAAGAGACTTCTGAGGAAAATAATCAGATGGAGGAATCTGATCTGTCTCAAGCTGAGAAAGATTTACATTCTGAAGGTAGTGAAAATACAGGCCCTGTAAGTAGTAGTTCTGACTGCCATGCAACAGAATTAGTAGGCTCCAATTCCAGTAAAACTGGAGAGATGGTCTCAGAGTCAGTCATGGAAAACGACAAAGCCACAGAAGTCACAGATGAACCGATGGAACAAGACTGACTATTTAGAAACATTTAGATGCAGTATTTTACATACAGTTCTGGTTTTACATTGTATAAAACTTTTATGTAATAAAGTGGACCTTTAGTTTTACAAGAGAAGCAGGTTGTAAAATTAAGTACTTTATGGAATAAATCCTGAAAGAGTTGTACATGTAAGAACTGTGAATTTCAGCTCCTCTGGGTCCTGCTTACCGCTGACTTTTTGGTCTGGTCAAATCAGTGGTTTGTGTATAAATTTTTTTTTTTTTTTTTTTAATTTAGAAGTAAAGTTTTTAAACTGGAAGGTAATGATTATAATTTTGAACACCTTTGGAGATTATCACATTTAGTTTATACATATGCAAGAAAGCTTTTTGTCTTGTCTCTTTCTGACAGCTCTAGCAATTTTCATATTTTGGTCATAGTTTCAACATTTTAACATGTGAATGATAGGGTTTCATGCTGGTTTCCAGGTTTTATTGTTTGACTATGTACAATGGAACTTTAAGTCATATATACATATATATATATACATATACATATATATATATATTATTCTAAGGGGGGAAATGTTATATTTTTCTGTTTCTATAAAGAGATGAATACAGTGGATACTTTTTCTATTGGTAATGATTGAGTTCACCTCTTTCTGAAGACAGTTTTTTTCTCTTCTGAGTAATTCAGATAAAATCTGGCCCTTGTGAAACCCTGGAAATCTTAAGTCTGTCAAAATACCAGGTTAAACACATTCCAAGAGATATGTTCAAACTAAAATTCTTTTGTATACTTCTGAGGTGCCTGAGAAAAAGACTTCATTATTTATGGAAAAATGTGCTTTATCTTGGAAATTGTGTTCAGACATTAGCTTACGGTTTTGTAGAATGAATGCTTTTGAAGCTGACATAAGACCATCTCAGAAGAACTGGGCAGGTTCCTTGACTATTTGCTTGCTTTTCTGAACATTGTGAATATTACACATTTCTTTCTAAATTATTCTAGAGTATGCAGATGTCAATGGTATGAAACACCACTGTACTGGAAGAATTAATATATTACTTTAGTAATGTACCTGAGCTAAATGACTGAAGCTTTAGGGGTACATAGAAACCAACATAATTTGTATGACATTTTGAAGTGAATTAAATATTTTTGAACATGCTTCTTTGACAGCCAGTGTTATATTTTTCAGATCAACTCAAAGCACAATGGTAACTCTAAACTCAATATTTTCAAATTCACATATTTAAAGTCATGCAGGCTGCAACTTCCCTGTCAAAATTACTGGCTGCCAAATTTATACCTGTTGTTTCTTCAGCTGTACCTTTTTATATTTAGAATTTTTAAATTTCTGTAAAGTAGATTTTGTAGAATGTAATGTGTTCACTGCCTTTGTGAAGCGGTATATAATTGTATAATTTCTGTGTGTAAACTGAATGCTTGGGCTTTCAATACAGTATTCATATAAAGCAATAAATATTAATGTTATGAAATATTTGAGTACATTTTTATCAAAATATAAAAGATTCTTCTTTTTTAGTTTCAGATACCTGAGGTACACAGATGAACTTATAAAACTGATGCAAACAATTTCTGACACTGTATCATATGCTGGGGTGATGGGGTGGCAAATACAAGTTTTGCATTTTGACTACTTAAATTCCTGTGACTGAAAGTACCAAAATGATTTGGCTCCACTTATATTTATAGGGAAATGTACTACTGACTGACTTGACTGTCAGGTTCACAGCAGCTAGGTGATTTATTTCTGAATATGTCTAATAATTAAACTAAAAAGTACATAATGATTAACTGTACCCAAGAGAGGTGAAAATGGAACATTGTAATTTTTTTTTTTTAATTTTTGCAAAAATGTTGAAGTAGATTTTAAATGAGACATTCATTTGTAGTGACCTATTATTTTGTTGAGGGATATCTTGCCAATGAGAACAGATTTTAAACATTTTAAGTTTAGGAATTTTGAAATTTTCTTTAGAATATTTATGAAATTATTGTCAATAAATCTATTCTTTAAGATCCTGAGACCTTTTGATATTTTTTATTTTAATTGTAGTACCATGGACCATTTGTAAACAAATCAATACTACTTTTGTTGGTTATAAGTTGAAGATGTAGCATCATGACTTTGAGGTCTGTGGTTTTATTTGTAAACTTGCAATTGCTATTTTTGCAAGGGCAAATGTATTTCTTTATTAAATAAAGTAAAATAATGGTGAATGTACCAAAATACCATCACTTAACTCTATGAGAGATCTGCATTTTAATCTATAGTTTACTATTTATTAGATATTCATATGTTGATCCTAGATCAAACTTATTGCTGTTTATACAGATAATTGTAGAATGCTCATGAAATATCTTTTTTTAGGATAGGTGGAATATCTATAGTTAAACTAGGAAACCTTGTTCAACTAACTGGTTTAAGATGTTGATGGCCATTTGGAAGTAAATTTCCTCAAGGTATGCATAGGTGCACTTACATAGACTTTGCTTAATGAAAATGTCAGTTCTAATAGTAACTGATTCATGTGTGAATTTTTGAAAGCTAATTTTAGGCACACTTTCATAGTACACATCAAGCAAAGTCATTAAAAGATCTAAATGAAGAATAAGGACCTCAGTGTTCAAAATATTAGTTTATTTTTTGGTCTTGAGCAGATTGTTTACCTGTTAGACTCTAGACTCTGAACCCAAAATATAAAAATTGGAAGAAGATGATGAGGAAAGTGAGAATATATATTTAATATGTTTTTAGCACTTTTTCCTTTAAAAAAGTGAAAACAAATTGTCCTAGTATGCTTTTGAAAATAAATCTTTTCAGTTCTGAAAATGTAGCAGAACAGAATAAATAGTGGAAATGTCATTTTTAATGTTGATTATTAGGTAAGTTTAATTCAGTTAGGGTTTATCTTAACTATACCTTTCAAAGTGTGGGCTGAACGAACAGTACAGTTGCCAGTCAGAGAACTATAGTCTTTCTATTTTGAAAAGGCATCCCAGAAATCCTAAGCCAGGAAGTGTGTCCTGTTAAAAGTGTAGCGTTGAGGTTCAGAGTGCTTTGTTTTGCTGGTGTAGATAGGCATGTGTTTATGCATTTTTGCATTTGTAAAATCAGATGGCAATTTTTCAAATAATGTAAATGTAATATACTAGTTTACTTATAAAGGTACTTGGGCAGAATCTAATGCTGCTAAAATGTTTGATTATGAAAAATGTAACTTGTGGTAAGGATGAATTTTTGCAACTTGTAGAACCAAAGGAAATAAAAATTTTGGGTAGTGTTTCAAATTGTCTTCTCAACAGGAGTTTCTTAAGATTGGTTTTGATAAAATTAAGCTCAGTTATTTTGAGATTTGTGCTAATCATAAAATGGATGAATGCAAAAACACCTTGTAATTTCATATGGAATTATTAAAATTAGATTTACTGGATTATTGGCCTAATAAGAATGCTAGTATGTATTGGTTAGAATACATCTAATATTTCACATTTAAAAAATACTTAGTACACTTTCTTCAGAATTTTATTTTAACTTGGAGCCTAGATTACTTTGCCAAATAAATGTATTATTTTCATAATGCAATAAAATATAAATTAGATGACTATCTTCATGTGTGGAATTACTTTATTTGCCATAATAGTTCATCCTCCCACTCCCTTTCACCCATCTACCTCAGTTAGAACCCCCAAGCATTTTTCAGATCTGTAGGGAGAGATAGCTTAGTGCAATTCATGTTTGTTTCCTGAGTGATGATGGTGTTTCAGCAGAGGGTGCATCTGAGTTGAATAGACAGTTATGGTTCGTTGTGGACAATTTGAACCTAATTTTTTATAAGATCAAGATTTATCATTTAGAAATTTCTCTGTTGGCATAATTTGTCACTAACTTGTTTGCATAGTTATGCAACATTTCAGTTAGACTCTCCCCCCCCCCCCAATTAACTACATTTATTTCAATATGGGCCATGTGAATATTTCCTCTCCTTGGGATTTGGGTGAGAATTTTATTGGTCAAATGGATAATAGTTCCATTTTGAAAAGCTAAATAGTTCTTTAAGCAAGTTATTCTTCTAGAACACCTTCCTGATACAAACCAGTTCATGAAATCCATTATACTGATTTGGTGACTCGGACCCTCACTTCCTCAAGTAGAATGAGCAATTTAATACTCCACTAGGAGCCCCTTACTGACAGAGGAAATCTGAGTACTGTTACAGAGTGAGAATCATTTTCAAAGTCTCACATTTCAGACAACTACAGGTTAAGAAGTGTAAATTGCCCTGAGTGCAGAGAGAATGATGGCTTCCACCTCTGGATTTTTGTTTCCTTATGCTGTTGCACAGTAGATAATGGTAGTTAGCAAAATCTGTGGCTCTTAACTCCATGAAAGATAAAAGTATTACTCAGCATGTTTGGTGGTTAAATATTTTTGAGTTCAGTGTCTTATTCATATTTGATCTCTAATTTATCCCCACTTAATTTTATTAGATGTGATAGAGGCAGTTCAAAGTACTGAATTAATGATAGGAAGACTGATTATCCCAACAACTAGGAATAAGATGTGTGATCTCTGGCTCCTAGACTATCTAGAATGAAGAGTATACTGTTCCCTTTTTTATTTATATAGTTGTAGAACAATGAACTTTTTTTAGTTTAAAATGTAGCAGTTGCATTTTTGTCTTGGGGTTATTTGTCAACTTTTAGGGTAAACCAACCCCTTCTCCCACCTGCAAAGATAATGGATTTGGTAAGTATACAAAAATGCCAGCAATTCCCTGTAGACTCCGCTGTCTTACTCATCTTTACAACCTCACAGGCTAGCCCTGTTCTTGGCAAGTGGTAAAGTCAAAAGCATTGGGCTATGTTGGTATCCTGTCTATACAATCTGCAAGTTTTATGGATTCTCTGACTACTTTGTGCCCATCTTGAGGGTACTTAATTCACTCTTGAAGCCTGCCTTTGTTGCTAGGTTTGTGTGTTTGAGAATAATACTTGCTATTGGGTGTCTTTAATGTGAAATGAGTGGGTAGTTGGACTGTGTCATCAGGAAATGATTATCCCAACAGGAGACTTGCATGACATTGAGACCAGCTGCCCCTGGCCTGTGCTGTGTTGTTAGGTGCCATCCAGTTGTCTCAGACTTTGAGAGATCCTTTGTACGACAGAACAAAGCATTTCCCAGTCCTTCACCTTCCTCACAATCTTTCCTGTGCTTGAGGGCCTGCATTTCATATGCACTGTACATCTTTACCTTGTCATCAGGGTAGGGGTTTCTGCAAGTGAAAAGTTGTGTGACCACCCAAGTCCTGCATTAGATTTGGAATAATGGGACTTAATATTAGGTTAATAAATGCTTGAATTGAAAAATATGAGTAGACTTGAGTGGATTTTAATTCTCAGTATTTGCTGAGAATTGAAGGGATAAATCTGTGGTCAGTCTTGTGCTATCTTCATTTTGAATCATACTGTTTTTGTTGACATTGCTTACAATACTACAGAATGGAAAAGTAAACTTAGTTGGTGTTGACTAACAATTCCCATCTGCTTTTCAGAGTGCACACAGTGTCTCTTAACCTGGTTTCTTGTTAGGTGCCATTGAGAGCTCTGACTCATAGCGACCCTGCGTACAACAGAATGAAACATACTGCCCGGTCCTGCCCCATCTTTATAATCCTTGCTAAACTTGGGTCTGTTGTTGGTAGCCACTGTTGTCAGTCCATCTCACTGAGGGTCTTCCCCTTTTTCGCTGACCCTCTACTTCACCAAGCATGAATACTTTGTACATTCCACGTTCTGATTATTAATGAATGTTTTCAGCTGTTTCTTCTCATTTTGAGTCATGGCACATCAGCAAATGAAGGTCCCAAAAGCTTTACGCCATCCACGTTTGAGGAGGTAGCTTTTCCCCAGTTGTATTTTGAGTGCCTTCCAACCTGAGGTGCTCATCTTCCAACATTGTGTCAGTTTGTTGTACTCTGGTGGCTTATGTGCTGCTGTGAGGTTGGAGGCTATGTTACAGGCATTTCAAATACCAGCAGGTGAGCCTACTGTGGGGGGTGTTTTGGTGAGCTTCCAGAGTAAGAAAGAGAAGATGAATAGGGCCATCCTCTTCTGAAAATATTAGACACTGAAAACTTTCTGAATAGCAGTGAAACAACCTGGTGCAGGTATCTAAAAATTAAGTTGGTCAGACTTCAGAACACAATTTCCCATAAAAATTGTTTAAAGTAAGGCCAGATTTTGAGGCCATCATACAAGAAGTTGTGTAGTCCTTAATGTGATTGAATTATGGCAATTAAGTCAGCATTTGTAACTTTTCCATTGGGAGAATGGTGTGGTCAAAAATCCTTCTCCCACAGTTCTAGCTGCGCAAGTGAGGACCTCATAGATGGAGATACGTGAGGGAGGACCCAGCAGCTCACCAAATACATCAGTTGTTTTGAAGTTGGGGATTATGGATTTAATACAAACT